GGTGCCCCCCTAGGGATCCGCTTCCTCGGTCCGGGCAGAGGTGCCCGCTTTGCATCTGTCACCAGCTGCCTGGTGACGCGAGGCTGCTGGTCTGGGATCCATGACAGAATAGCTCTGCCGTGAGTGACAGCTCACGCTGGCCTCGGGGCAGGGGGCAGGGAGCCGGGCAGGGGAGGAGCCACGGGGCAGGAAGACCAGGGGCCTCTGGGTGAATCTGGGCATTGCCCGGTTTCCTAGCGCAGCGCCCAGGGTGCCACTGAGCTCCGGTTTACTGGGCTCCGTACGTACCCCGTTTCTATCGATGCAAGTGACGGCGGAGCTGTTGCTGGTGGCACTCTGCAAGAGAATCGGAGGAGTTTATGGAACACGTATTCGCTCTCCCCTGCCTCACCGAACGCACCTGGAGGGGTGTAAAGGCCACGCTGGGCCCGGCTGTGCACATCTGCCTCTCCCTCCCTCCACCATGTCTGCCAATTTGCCCCCGTGTCCACCCCTGGGTCAGTCCGACGTGGAGGTACTTAAAGGCGCATCCTCTCCTCTGGACCCATGAGCTGTAGGAAAACGAGGCCTGTATCTGACTAATTCCTGGTCCTCAGTGAACCTGAGAAAACTACCATCCCGTGGTCCCGACGCCATAAAAAAACGTCAACACGTCGAACCGATTCTTTCTGCCTTTGGCTTGTCACTCGGTTAAACGCACTTCTTCGTCTCAAGTAAGTTCCACCAGATGGGCATCCTTTTCTCTAAAACTCAAGTCACTCAGCCCGGCCAGCGCGGCTCAGTGGCTGAGTCTCAGCCTATGAACCAGGAGGTCACGGTTCGATTCCCGGTCAGGGCACAGGCCCGAGTTGTGGGCTCCTTCCCCACTGTGGGGCGTGCAGAAGGCAGCCGATCCAGGATTCTCTCTCATCATGGGTGTTTCTCTTGCTCTCTCTCTCCCTTCATCTCTGAAATCAATAAAAACATATTAAAAAACAAACAATCAAAAACTCAAGTCCCTCCAACCGGGGGCGCGTGAGCAGTGGCGGCCCTCACCAGGGAGTTGAGCAGGGGTGTGCGGGAGGTGGCGGGGCTGTGGAAGAAGCCCTGCTGGGGGATCAGGTACTCGTCCGCGTCCACCACGTCCTCCATGTCCTCTTCGTCCATCAGCGCGCGGTAGAAGTTGGAGTCCGTGGGGCTGGGCAAGTTCATCCTCTCGTCGCCCTGGGGGGAGGGGGGGATTGGAGGCCGTGAGCAAGGCCCAAGGGGAGGCATCCCTCCTGGGCGCCCGCGGTCCAGGAGTCCATTGCTGGCAGACCCTGTGTGTTTACAGGTTAGTCACAGTAAAATCGCCCTGGTTCTCTTCCGTGTAGCAGCTTCCTCCCTCCCCAGGCTGGGAATTAAAACATCAAAAACTGTCTGCTGGCATGGCTCAATGGTTGGGCATCGACCTGTGAACCAGGAGGTCAGGGTTCGAATCCCCGTCAGGGCACATGCTTGGGTTTTGGGCTCGATCCCCAGTGTGGGGAGTGCAGGAGGCAGCCAATTCATGATTCTCTCTCAGCATTGATGTTTCTCTCTCTCTCTCTCTCTTTCTCTCTCTCTCTCTCTCTCTCTCTCTCTCTCTCCCCCCTTTCCTCTCTGAAACCACTAAAAATGTATTAGAAAAACATTAAAAATTCCTTGATGCTTAAAAGCCCCGAGTGAAATGCCAACACTTAGGGGAAAGAAGGCATGAAGCAGCAGCGTTTACAGACTGTGTATCTGCTACTAGTGGCTGAGGTACTGTTTATAATAATACTAAAGGCCCAGTGCATGAAATTCGTGCGCGGATACGGTCCTTAGGCCTGGCCTGCGATCGAGGGACCGAGAGATCAGCCATTTTGCCTGCTTGCCGGCCTGGGGGACGGGGCTGGCACGGGGCGGACCCTTGGACACAGATGTGCGTTACAGGGACAGAGGTCCGGTACCTGGATGACGAGGTAGCGCTGGGGGTCTCGGGCCATTTTAGAGAACTCATTGATCAACTCGCGGAACTTGGGGCGACTGTCCGCATCGATCATCCAGCCTAGAGGAGGGAGGAGGGAACGGGGTCCAGTGAGAGCCCCAACAATCACCCCCAGGGCAGCATCACACAGGGGGAGGCTTACGGGGACCCTCCAGACAAGTAAGTGCTGCAGAAACCTCCTCCCTTGATGGACCTTTCCGTCTCAGCAAATCGGTGCTGACGTGGTTGAAGTCAGACGTGTGTGTGTTGTGTCCTCAGACACGTATATATCATGTGTCCCCCATAACAGACATGTATGAATCAGAGAGACATGACATCTCTGATGGGCCCACCGGCTCCTCTGAGGCCAGCACTGCAGCGTGACCCTGGAGGGACCCCTGGGAGCTGCTCTGACTTGGGGGTGTCCCGTGGCCAAGCTCCCAGGTCCTCACTCCACGTGACCCTCGTCTACGGCCCCTCAGCAGTCTTGCCAACTGGAAACCAGAGCCCGTGGAGGGGAACTTGGGGACTTTCTCTAAGAATCCGGGGGTCTGGGAAGTCTCCGCCCTGGTGTCCTCCTGTGCCCATGGGCCGGGGAAGGGGGGGGCAAGCAGAGGACACCCCTGTTCCCAGGCTGGTGGCCCTGCTTACACGACCCCGGCCGATGGAGGAGCTGCAGGAGCAGCCGAGAGCTGGCCGCCCGCCTGCCTCCGGGCCTCACATCTACTTCCTACCAGCGGGAGTCAGGCTATTTTTAGGCCAGACTGTCAGTGACCTCGGTCCCAGCTTCCTCGGCCCCCAACAAGGACGTTAAAAATAGATGACCCCGGGCTTGGAGTTCAGAGCGGCATCACTGTTTACATCCACGCTGCTCCCCGCCCCCCGGTCCTTCTGGGCAAAAGCTCAGCACACGGCGTGTCGCCCTCGGGGCCGCTGAACCTGGGATTCTGCCGCCGTCACAGCGTTACCGGTCACACCCCTGGCCCGGGCTCAGAGTTTACCGGCTACCCTGCCGCCGGGCCGCACGTAAAGCCACGGCTGGAAAGACGGAAATCCAGGCAGGCACGCTGATTCTACCGGCCTTGTACGGTTACTCATTCCCAGTCTCTGGTCACACACTCCCACCCGGGCGGCCCTTCCCTGGAGCCACTCAGGACAGGGGGCCTGGAGGTCGTGGCTCACGGGGGACTTGGATTTTGTTTATTTGCTCGCAGCCACGGCAGACGCCGGGCCCCGGGGCTCCGTGAGTCAGGCTCGGCTTCCGGAGGAACGTGCGAGGGGCTGACTGACGGTGTCCCTGGGCTGGACCGCCTGCTGCAGAGACGGGGCGGCATTTCTCTGGGGAGCTGAGGGCTCCGCTGTTTGGACACGGCAGCAACGCCTCCCCAGGCGCAGCTGCGCGGGGGCGGGGCCCCGGCGGTCACTCACACTTGACCATGATCATGTAGACGTCGATGGTGCAGATGGGCGGCTGCGGGAGGCGCTCCCCTTTCTCCAGGACTGTCGAGATCTCACTGGCCGGGATCCCGTCGTAGGGCTTGGACCCGAACGTCATCAGCTCCCACACGGTGACCCCTGTGAGGACGAAGGTGCCGCTTTATGAGTCAGGGACCCCAACGTCTTGTCCTTGGGCATCATTATCGATACGGCTTCTTATGCCTAGAAGCCTGTGTTTCTGTGGTCCCGGGCAATGGGCTCGCGTGCCGGGAGCCTCAGTGTACCTCTTTGTAAAGTGGGGTGATGACAGTGTCACGAGGGGCCAGTAACATAATTGAGATGTTCAGGCAACGCCAGGCAAAGAGCGAGCGGCCAATCAATGGTAAACTTTAGTGACAACAGCCAAGATACCACGGCCACGTGAATGAGTCAACGCCAGCATGCTCTCGGCGGGAGGGGCCGCACAGACGGCCGCCCCCAGCAGCCTGGAGGAGGACACATGGGTTTGCAGCGAGGTTACACACTGGGAGTTTTAATAGAAGAAAAATTAGAGGGTGAGAGAGCAACCAAAGGCCTGGTAGGCACGCATACTGTGGGAATGGCTGGGAAGAGTTCAAATGGGGAAAAAGGAGACAGATGTAATACTCTAAACAAACAAAAAAAAAATATATATATATATGAAAAATTGGAAACAAAGTCCCCCGTGTTCCTTTGATAAACATAAGAACCCTATACTTGTTGTTTCAAAATTAATCATGACTTAAAAAAAGTCAGCGCAGTCATTTTCAAATGGGTATTTTTTTCAGACCATCCCCCAGTTCTGATGGTCTGTCTTTCTTTCTTTCTTTCTTTCTTTTTTTTTTTAAAGCATCTGACTTTTTAAAAAAATTGATTTTTAGAGAGAGAGAGAGGGAGAGAGGGATAGAAACATGATGAGATAGAAGCAGGGATCAGCTGTCTCCTGCACGCCCCACACTGGGGATCGAGCCCGCAACCTGGGCAGGTGCCCTGACCGGGCATTGAACCAGCAACTACTTGGTGCCTGGGACGATGCTCAATCCCTGAGCCACCCGGCCGGGCCCTGACGGTCTTCCCACCTCTGAGCCTGCAAGTCTCTGCTCTGGAAACACACGCACACCCGAGGGAGCTAGTCCTCGCCTGCACAGTGAGCGGCCGCTGCTCCCACAGCTGGGAACAGGTGACATGTCACGAGTCACCCCCACAGAGCAGCGAGCAGCAAGCAGCCCTTCAGCAGCTGGCTGGGTGGCAGGGGAGGCAGGCCGGGGGCGGCAGGGGAGGTGGGTTCCCAGTGGTGAACGCCCCAGCACAGCCCTCTGGGAAAATGCCTGAGTGACACTGCTCAGGCAGCCCTTTGTGCAAAGGCAAGGCGGCCAGAAGGTGGAAGGCGAGAGGGGACTGCCAGGGGCAAGCAAGCCGGGGTCCTGATGACGCCTGAGAGCAAAAGCGAGGCCCCTATTTCTACCTCTTCTCCCAAAGGCACCTCCTCACTGTGCATTTCTGCCGCCAGCTCCCCGAGACCACGCTCGCCACCATTCACTCCCAGCCCAGCCCCTGGGTTAGTCCCTCACCAAACCTC